GCACCATGACGGGGGGGGGGAGGCGAGAGAGTGGCCGGATGCGAGGGAGGGGGGGCGGGGAAGGAGGAAAGGAGGGGAGAGGGGCGAAGGGGCCGAGAAGCAAGAGACGGGGGGAAGGGGGAGCTCGTTGGCGGCTACTATGGAGGGCCTAGCCAGGTCCTGGCGGGGCCCGAAAACTGCCCCCCCCCCCCGTTCTCTCGGGCGCGGAGGTGGAAATCCCGGCGGCAGAGTGCCAGTGCCCTGGGGGCCATTGCGTCCAGGTCCTGGCGGGGCCCGAAAACTCCCCCCCTCCCCCCAGCCCGCCCGTCTACCCCGCCTGGTCCCTCTGCGCCGGAGGTGTTCCCCGGCGGCGGCCAATGTCGCGGGCTGGAGGAAGTGCCCAACGGCCGCGTCCTCCTCTGCCTGAGCAGATGAACGGGTGTCGGCGGCTGGAGGAGGATGGCGGTCGAGCGCTCCGGGGCTCTTGCGTCAGGGCGCCAGCGGCCCCGGACCAGGCCCGTCGCCGGCCGGCTGACACAGCCCCAGAAGCTTCTGTCTCTCTGGCCCCACCCACGCCCACACCCGACCGGACAGCACCCACCTCCGGACGGGGGCGGGGGAAAGAAAACACCGGCACGATGTCCCGGGGCATTTTCTCGCGCTATGGCTAGTCCCCCTGCGCGGAGCTTCCCGCGACGTCCCCTCCCGCCCCCGCCCCCCCTCCGGTGGATGAATCCGGAACGCGACCAGGCAGCTCAGGGACCGTGCTGGAGGCTCACGTGCACCGCCGCCACTCCAGAACGGCCTCACTGACACGTCTCAAGACACTAGTCGCCCAGGGGGGGGGGGGGGCGAGAGAGACACCGACTAGCCGGTCTCCCAAGCAGGGCCCCGGGGGAGGGCGCGCCCATCCCCAGCGGCTCCCGCGTCGACGGTCACCAGGGCAGTTGGCACCTCCAGGAGGCCGATCCACCTGCCTCCAGACCGGTTCAAGCATCCTCCGGGGGCGCCGATCGGCCTGCCCCCACCCCCCGTCCCCCACCCATCCCGAGCTCTGACAGCCAGGGGGGGGGGGGGGAGGGGGGGGCTCCTCCAAGGGACGAGGCCCGGGGACAGGCGATCGTTCCCCCGGCGCCGGAAGTCACCGGGCGCAGGTATTTCCGAGCCCGGCCCGCGGCCGAAGCCGCGGCCGCACGCGTCACCCCCCCACCCCCGGACAGAGACCAGCCCCCCCCCC